CACCTCGGTCATTAATGATGTCCTTGGCAACCCCCAATACTTGACCACATTCTTCATGAAAAACTTTGCTGCCTCCTCTGCTAGATACTCTTTGTGGCGGGCATAAAGGTAGCATATTTTGTCGGGCAATCCACCACCACAAAAATAATGTGAAATCCATCAAACTTGGGAAGTCCTATGATGAAATCTATTGAAATGGACTCCCAAGGTTGCTCCTTCTTGTCTCACATCGGACCCTGAGGCTTGGGTGTATGTGTGTTTAGTCTTTTCTAATGTTGGGGCTTTGGAGCCCTGTTACTAAAATTTACTCATTTGTTACTGGAAAAAAAATTAATGTTTAAGGTAAAAAGTGTAATATGCCAAATAAACAAAAATCACTTTCCCTAATTTGTAAAAAATGGCGCGCGGAAGATTAAAAAAAAAAATTGAAGTCTATTTTTTTTTTTATTCCGAATGCTGCTTGAGACACTTATTATAGCGAGGAAAAGGGTTATTTTTGGTATAAAAAACTAGGGGTATTCAACAAACCGAACAAAACTGTTTAGATTGTATAAATCGAACCAAACCGTATAGTTTATATATATATAATTAAAAATCCTTTCCTCTATATGTAGTATATTTTTATTATTTAACTGTATATTTTTTTGGTTATATTTTATATTTATATTCATTTTAATAATTGATTGTTTTTATTTTTTAGAGTGTGATTTCTATTAGTAATAGTGAAATTCTGTAAAATGGTGTAAATATATTTATTATATAATGTATAACTATTATAGTTAATTAATAAATAATGAATTTATTAAGTTAAACATGTTGGAAAAAAAATAGATTATCAATTTTTAAGAAAATTCTGTCAAAATTTTTATAAAAGTAGTGAATTTAATCCATTTTGTTTTGTAAATCACAAACCATAGTTTGAAATTGAATCAAATCATAAACTATAATTTAAATTAATTTATAAAAATTATAAATTATAAAGTATAATTTAGTTTAAATTTTAATATCAAACCGACCCAAACCTTACACCCCTGCCGAAAACTTTAAAAATCATGCATTCATAAAAATGGTGAGAATTTTTTTTTCATGTCCACAAAAACTCTCGTGCGGGAAAAAAAAAAGAATAAAGAAAAGTAAGGATAAACTCCATCGGTGCTCCCCCGGCTCTTTCGAAATTCTTAATTTTCTCCACCAGTTACCAATTTCAAGAATTTGGCCCCACGGCCATTTGATATGATGCAATGAAGTCCCTTAATTCAATTTTAGTCAAAATGAAAATAAAAATTAGAGAAAATAACATGCAGCAATGGTGGGGCATTGACATAATTGCCATATATGATATCCCTCTCACCTTTTAAATTAAAAAGACAAAAAATAATTATAAAAACGAAATAACAAACAACATATAAAATTTTGATATTAAAATTTTCATGCTATCAATAAGCCATAGTTGCCTTCTTTCTTGTAGAATTGTGTAGCTGTGCCACCACCTTCTACTTCTCCATTTACACTTGGAGGTGGGGGTCTTCAAAACTGAATCAAACTGATTGAATTGACTTAAATTAAGCTAAATTGACTAAAAATTGATTAAAATTGAAAAGAATTGGTTTAATTCGGTTTATAAAACTGTCAAATTAATTGGTTCGATTCGGTTCAATTTTCAGTTTTATCCTGAAAAATCGAATCGAACAGGACCGATCAACTTTGATTTTATTTATTTAGTATATATCATTTTCTACCATTTTTCATATAGCCTCATTAATTTATATTTAGTTTTAATTTATTTACTAGAAGGTATAAGTTTGATATCAAAACTAAATCTCATGTTTGATTTTATTCTCTTTTATTTTTATTTTGAAAAAAAAAACATGCATTTTGTTTTTGTTTTGGAAAAAATGAGCAAAATTGATCATGTCAATCAAACCAAATTGACTTCAATTATGTTTGGTTTGGTTCAGTTTTTTGGTATAAAAAAAAAATCAATCATGTCTAAACACATTTAAAACTGACATGTTTAATTCGGTTTGAATAACGTTTAAAATCAAATCAAACCGAACCGAACTGATGAACACCCCTACTTGGAAGCTACGCACTGTCAACTTTGTGGACTTAAATTTAAACCAAATCAAAACGAAACAAACTTAGGAACACCTTGTTTGGAAGCACTGCACTACCAAGCCCATGAACTCAAAATTTCAGTTTTCAATCTCATTGTCTTCTAACTTTGTTTATTTCAAAATTTTTATTACAAAAGCCAGTAGATAGCAAACAAAACGAAGAAATCAAAAATTAAGAAGATATCGGAAAGCGTGAATTGTGAATTTTTTCAAATTTTTATTTATAATTTTGATCAAAAGTAGGGAGGAAAGAGAATAGATTATCCCAAATCAAGTAGTCAGGGGTAGAGGTGTTCATGGTTTTTAAAAACTGTATCAAACCGAACTGTACCGTACCAAAAATTAAGTTTTTTTTAAAAAAATTTATAGGTTTTGGTATTAAGTAATATCGTACCGAATATTTTGGTACGATTTTAATTTTATAAATTCAAAATCGACAAAAAACCATACCAAGCTGAATATTATATATAATAATTTATTAAATTATTTATATCATATAAAAATGATTAAATTTCAAAGTATTAACTATAATTCATAGTAAATTAAAGAAATTAAAAGATTAAAGACTTCTACGAAAAAGGAGTATAAATATTATGGATTAAAGTGTAAAAAAAATTTTAATAAATATCTTATACACTTACAACTAATTTATTAACTTATACATTTATTAGAAAATGAGATCATTCTTTTTTATTTTATTATCAAATTTTTGTTATAATATAGTGAATGACTTACCAATTTATCACCTAATTTAAATTTTATAAATTACTTATCACCTAATTTAAATTTTATAAATTACCTAACACATGATAAGTCCAAACTTAAAAAAAAAGAATTTCTTAAATGCACTTTTTCCTTGTAAATAAATAAAAATTTTCCCTTAACATATCTAAAAAGTAGTTTTAGAAAAAAAAATAAATGAAAAAATATTACAAAGAGAAATTTAAATTAAGTATTGGACTTTTTTCCCATCAAAAGCCTTAAATTAAAAAAATACCATGGCCAAATAAATATAAATAATTGAGAATTAAATTTCAGTTTTTAAAATAGAAATTGTTGAATTTTATGTTTTAACTATCAATAAAAATTAAGTGTAAAATAATGAATACATATTTAAAAAAAATAAAATTAAAGTTTAAACCATACCATATTCATATATTCTGCATAATAATTTATTAAATTATTTATATTATATATAAAATTATTAAATTTTTAAATAATTGGATTATAAGTTATTAATTAAAGTATTTATATTATATGTAAGTTAATTAAATTATCTAATAATGATAGATTTTTAATTAAATTGATTAAAAGTTCATATTAAATTAGGTTAAACAAAATTAACTTTTTAATTATTTTTATATGATTTTTAATTTGTTTCTTATATATTATGAGATCAAAAATATAAAGTTATAGATGATTATTAATGAAAGTTTTAAAATTAAATTATTAAATATAGGAAACTATTAATATTATATAATTTTGAAATAATTTAATTTTTTCATATTAGTTATATATTACAAGAATATTTTTGTGTAATTTTGTAAAATTTTTACTAATTTATTTAAATATTTTAATTTAATTCAAAAAATTATAAAAATTGTACCAAACTATATTAAAACTAAATAAAATCAAAATAACAATATCGATTTTTAAAAGTACAATTTTAATTTTAATATTAAAAAAATTAAAATAAATAATATAATAGTATTTAAAAAAAAAAACCAAAAGAAAAGCGAACCGTGAACACCCCGCAGCGGCGTTATTGCCTGCAGCGGCGTTATTGCCGGGATTGGCAGTGAAGTTAGCCGGGAAGACAAAAAGGAATTAAAAAAAAAAAAAACGCTGAAAATAGGCCAGACATCCGCCCATATCGCGAGCAAAAGAAACAAGCAAAAAGCAAAACAAGCTTATAATCACCAATATCGCCAAGGGGAAACAAAATGCAAAAAGGGCCAAAAAGACTTACAATCAAACGACGTCGTTCCATTGAAAATGGCGGCGTTCCCGTAATAACTGCCGTGGCAGCACAGCTTTAAGGTATTTAAGGGCAAATTTAGTTCGGCTAGGGTTTTTAAGGTCTCGGCGGGTGCTCTTACGTGTTTTCCTATTTCACTTACTCGGCACCTGGCCACCGTCTCGCCATCTTTACCGCCGGCGTCGGTGTAACTCTTAGGCTGGTGAATTACCTGTGAAGCCGCCAACATGGTTCGTCCTATTATCTGTTTTTTGCACCATAACCATATACATTTCTCCTGTTTCGATGAACACGCTGAATTGATCCCTTTTTATCATAAACTGCATATTTTTGTTTTTTGTTTTCGCTCAACAGCTTTCCCTGTGGTGAATTTTGGTTGTTCTTGCTCACAGTGGTGTCAGCGACCACTTAGAGTTCGTTGAAGTTATAGTTATGCCATAGATCTGCAGGCTGTATGTAGTCATGTGCTGCATGGATGATCAGATTGTGTTTATATTTGTTGTATCTTCGTTTTGGGTTTTGTATAAGCTAATGATTTTACATGGAAATATATCACTGGGACTAACATAATTGGTCTAGCCATATGAACCTCAGCCTGTTTATTTAGTCAAGAGTTGTTTACAAAGAACAATTTTTGAATCTGACATTCGGAGCGTCTGTTTGATTAGGTATGGATTTGTAGATATTCTTTAATGTCTTTTAAGTTATGAACTTCCTTAGTAAATTCTTAAAGTCAGAACTTGCGTAATGAAAATTTTCTATAATTATTTTGAATGCTTTGTCTTGGTTCCCTGGAAGGCTCCATATGAACTTTTCATCATGATTGTACACAATTGTGCAGCGTAATGTAAAATGATACTTTTTAGATGCAAGTTATTGCCTACTATGTTAAACAAATCAAAATTATGGTAATTGGCATTAGATCCCAATCTGTACTTGAATGAGTATCACCCAAAAGAAGTATAGCATGTCATCGAGAGTTTACTTTATCATGAATAACAAAGATATAGAGCAGTTGAGGGAGTTTATTCATTTTTTTTCCTTTATGGTGTGCTAGACCTCTCATGGAGTGTTGCATCTTTTTATTTTTTTATTTTTCCATGTTGTGCAAGCATTAGATCTTTTGGGTCCTGGACAAGTTCCCAGCAAGATGAATTTTGTTAGCAGGGCAGCGGTTCTTTAGCGATCCTTATTTTTTTAGTATGTTGCTGGATTTACTTCTTATCAAGTCCTAATCACGATTCATGCATTTTGATTTTGTTCCATACTTCATCTATTGACACACAAGTATACTGACACACATCAATGAGTGGATCTATTGTAACTTTGAAACTGCTAAATTTCATTTCTATGATGTTTTATAGGCTAGAGGATTGAAGAAACATATGAAGAGGCTCAATGCGCCTAAGCATTGGATGCTTGATAAGCTTGGAGGAGCATTTGTAAGTGCCTTGTTACTCCCATTCTGTTGTTTAGAGTTTGTGACTCTTGGCTCTGCTGATCTCATTGCTCTTTGGTATTTTCTAATTCTTTTGTAGGCTCCCAAACCATCATCTGGGCCACACAAATCTAGAGAGTGCCTGCCATTGATTCTTATCCTGCGAAACAGGCTTAAGTATGCCCTCACTTACCGCGAGGTCATAGCCATTTTGATGCAACGGCATATTATGGTTGATGGGAAAGTCAGGACTGACAAGACATACCCTGCTGCTTCATGGGTATGCAGATTGATACTGTGTTTTACTTTAGTTTCATTTTTATGTATTCTAATGATGCCTAGAGAAATATTGCAGAATGTTGGGACTGCGGAATTAGTTCTACTATAACTATATACAATATGCAATGCCTTCTAGATTTCAGAATGCTGTTTGTTGCTCTTTTTTCTCGAAATTCTCGATAATGCCTTATTACCCTTTCAATTGCCAGATGTTGTCTCAATTCCAAAAACAAATGAGAACTTCCGTCTTATGTATGATACCAAGGGACGATTTCGCCTCCACTCACTTAGGGACGAAGAGGCCAAGGTTAGACCTCCCATACTTCATTCGACTTTATTGTATGTTTTTGTTATGCCCATTTGTCTGTGTCGTGATTCTCATATTGAAGAGGACTGGGTTTCCGCTCAATTTGCTTTTGCCTAGAGATTAATTATACTTTCAAATTCTTTTTGGATATTCTTTTGTCCATTTTTTTAACTGAAGGATGTTGCTTTTAGGCAATTTTAGCAATAGTCTGACTGATTTATTAGCCATTGAACAATTTAATTAGATTATTATAGTCACATGATATGGATACCATATTCATTTTTGCCCTCCCTCATAGTGGATGTACTTAAAGAAATCCATTATGCTGTTTGGTTTTCTGGTCATTGGCTTTCAACTCATCAACACAGATTATTATTTGTCTCCTTTGCAGTATAAGCTCTGCAAGGTTCGATCTGTGCAGTTTGGGCAGAAAGGAATTCCTTACCTTAACACCTATGATGGGAGAACCATCCGCTACCCAGATCCTCTGATAAAGGCGAATGATACCATCAAGTTGGATTTGGAGACCAACAAGATCGTGGATTTCATTAAGTTTGATGTGGGGAATGTTGTCATGGTGACTGGCGGAAGAAACAGGGGAAGAGTTGGAGTCATTAAGAACAGGGAGAAGCATAAGGAAGCTTTGAGACCATCCACATACAGGACGCCACTGGGCACGAGTTTGCTACTCGAATGGGTAACGTGTTCACCATTGGCAAGGGCCCAAAGCCTTGGGTCTCTCTGCCCAAGGGAAAGGGTATCAAGTTATCCATTATTGAAGAAGCACGGAAGAGAATTGAAGCACAAGCAGCTACTGCTTAATCATTACAATTTCATATGAAAATTTTTTCCTCTGTTCTAGTTTTGAAGGGATGACTTGAGATTGGAGATTTTTGAAGTTTGAGACTGTTTATTTTAGGCTTATTAAACTTCAAATTTGTGAAATACATCAGGCAATTTTGGTTGGTGTTTTTGACGCCAGTTCTGCAAGAATAACAAATTTTCACGTAACTTTGAAAATTATGTATATCAGTTTCTCACATGACGTTGCAATTTCGAATCGTGGCTTGATTTTTTTGCAGCTCTTTTCTTTTTTTAATTAATTTTAAAATCAACTAAGAATCTGCTATGTTTAGATTATATTTTGGGATGTTTGCCAATTTAGAAAATTTTAATCTTTTGAGCTTTAAATCGCTAAGGGTTTTGCAATTTTTGGGATACTTGGAATTTTGAAATTTACTCAGTAAGCTTCCGGGATGTTTTAGAAGTCCTGGTTTGGTGTTTTTTTACATTAAGTTTTAAATTGGGATTTAAATGACTGAGTTTATTGTAGACTAAAAATTCCTAGGATTTATAATTAATGTTAGCTATTTTTAAAAATAAATTTTAAAACTTTTCATATAAAACCTTCTCTTTCTTTTGCATTGACGTTTTTTCTTTAGGTATTTTCCATGTTATATCTTGGTTTTGGATGCTAAAGTCTTGTTGGGGGGGAAAGGGGTGAAGATTGAACAATTAATTTTTCTCTCATAATTATATAATGGCAAAACAGAGTGAGAAGCTTTTAGTCCATTGAATCATCGGTCTTATGCTTTGGTAACGAAAGATTAAATAAAAATGGATGAATGGTGCCTCGTGAATACACCTTCTCTTCTAGGTACAGAGCTTGCGAACTTCATTGGTTCTTAAATACGTAAAAATGTTCTATCCTCTAATAGTCCGGCAGAAACAAGTGGAAAGAGAAGATCCAAATGTGTTGTATTATACTATTAAATTTTGTGAAGAGTTGGGAATAAAAATTTTAAAAAATTGAGTTTGGTATATTTTTTAAAATGATATACTTTTTAAAATGAGAATTCTCGTCTCTTAAAAAATTATAATTTCATTTCATCACTTGATTAAAAATTACAATATTACCTTTTATTTTTAATAAATGATAAAATTAATATAATATATATATATAATATTACATTATAGTGCATATATATTATATATATCATTATAAAATAATATGTACACACGCACACATTTTGTAACGATCCGAGACTACTGACTCTAACAACTTGTTGAGTTTGAACTACTGGCCCAAAATACTGAAACCCAAGTTGTTTAGTAGTAGTCTCTAATCTCTTATAAGTCCAGGATCTCTCTGGTGTTTTGTTGATGTGGGATTTGCTTAAGGGTGTCATACACACATACCCCTCTTTGGAGTGTCACACATATATATATATATTAATATTATATATATTATTATATATTATAATAGATGAATGATCAATTGGCATATAGTATGAACATAAGTCACTTACACCATTCATTTTATCAAAATTAACAGATGATATTAATTTCACCCATTGAAAGTTATTAGAAATTAATGTCAATTAATGTCATTCGTTAATTTTAACCAAATTAACGGTGTGAGATGTGGTATAATATATTAGATGTTCATATACCTTACACTTATACTAGGTGTTCATTAATCATTCCTCATTATAATATGTTTATATATGTAATATAAATTAGAATTCAATATGTTAAGGTTAGAATATAAAATTTTTTATTTTTTAGCTTTTTGATATTTTAATAATATAACAAAAATAAAATTTATTTAGTTTTTAAATATATCTAATACATATTATTTTCACTTTTGAATAATTTTTTTTTGTTTCATTTCTTATTTCTATTTTAATATATCAAATACAATGATGAAAAAAGGATTTCATTTTATCAAGTTATTCCAAACATATTCACGTAAATTTTCATTTTATTTCATTTCATTCATATCTCGTCACTGTCAAAATATGTTTATTTAATGCCTTTGCACTATTTATCTGTTGAATAAGATGAAAATAAAGGACCAAGATTAGCAAGAAGTAGTACTTAAGAATTTAAGATTAGTGAGAAACGGGGATGATTAGATAACGAAGAATTACATATAATAGAATTATTTATATTATTATTATTATTATTATTATCATGTGTTGTTTATATATTCAAATAATTATTTAGGTATTAGAATAGAAGAAATGTAAATAAAATCAAGTAGAAGTTATATATTAATGGCTTGTTTGATACTCAAGTCAACCTCTTGTTTGGAACAATTCCGAGTTGAAAAACTGAGATTGGACAAATCCCCTTTGAGAATTTGTATTTTTAATAAAAAATAAAAAATAAAAATATAAATAAATATATTAGAAATATTTTTGAAATTTAATTAAAAATTAGTTTTTTTTTTTTTTTTTTTTTTAACAACTGGCGCATGCCTTGGCTTAGGATTTTTTGACGAGCTATACAATCGTAATTACAGAAGGATGAGCACTTATGGTGTCCTTTGCCTCAATATGCTTTATAGCTTCAACCTATATAAGATCAAAACATGGGATTTAGGCAGTGTTTACCAAAGATTTTGTAAAATTAAAAGTTAATATTTCAAGCAAAAGTAGATTAAAAATAATTAGTTAAAAATTGAATGTGTTTATAAGATATATAAAAAAGTAATTAAAAGCAATAAAATTGTATTTAAGAGACAATTTTTAAAAATTGATGATAAATAAACTTTTGAAACCAAAATATTATTTTATTCCCTTTTCATCTAATTATAAACTTTTTTTCCGGGGGCCGCGGGGGGGGTGGGGATTCCCGACATGAGCATCTCCAATTTGCAATCTTCATCGGGGATTTTTACTTCCCTAACTCTGCAGTCTTAAGCTTCATCATCCATGGGTCGAGCTTTGCCATCTGTCAATGTCGTGCGCTGTTGACATAGCTTAGTTTGTCGATCTTCCTTCTGAGCTCATTAATGGCAGTCAATCTTCGATTGCAGCACTTGTTGGAGCATAGCATATACTTGGCGGCCTTAGTGCTGTCGATAGTTGAGGGTGAAAGGCTGCACTGGGGGTTAGTGGCTAGAGTACTTCCCCCTCCCCCCCAATGGCCAAATATTCGTCAAGGGTAAGTTTGAAATTAACCAAAATAATTAAAGATAAAATTATTTTAAAATATTTTTTTATTTATAATTATATTATTTAAATTGAAGTATCTCTCTTCTTGCTTTATACTTTAATTTCAACTTTAAATTCTATTCACGTAATTTAAGATAAATAAAAATTACAAGTATACTTGTAAATAAAGTCAAAAGCGCTTCTATATCTTGACATATGTGAAAGCACTGCTCTCAGTGGTAAACACTCTTTTAAACTTCTTTTATCGGTTTAAAATTTTCTAAAATAAGAATAATTAAAAGCAGCAGTATGTGAAGCTTCCTCTGCTCAGTCAACAACTTCTTGTTAATAAAATCTGCCAATGAACGTCATCATTCTCACTGGCCACGTAATAAGAAAAAAAACAAATTATGTCGAAATCTGTAATATAAAATAATGATAATAATTAACTGATGGCTACGTGGAATTACAAATCCTCTCCCGACGTGACAATCCTAGGAATTTTATAATTTATTATTATTTAGGCACTTTAATAAGCAAATAAAAAGGAAAGCATTGAAATTTTAAAATTCACGAATTTATACATATACATAGAAGTTGATAAATTTATTCTACGTAAATAAGCTTCTCATTTGTTAACTTTTCAAGGGATAGGACAAATTCCAATGCTGAATCAGAGATTGCGGACGATTACTAAGTACAGATAAAAGCTATTTTTTTATGAAGAAAATTTTAAAAATTGATTTTTTTCATATTTTTTAAATAAATTCAAAATTACGTAAATTACATGTTGGTGATTTATATTTCATATTTTTTTTTCTATATTCCACTTTAAATTTTTAAAAGTTTACCCAAATATTTAAAAAATTTATTTAATAAAAATTTTTTTTTCTTTGTAAAAAACCTTAAATAAACCTACCCTTAGTCTAAGCTCCACGGCCTACCATACCATGGCCAATGTGAATACTTTTTATTTTAAATTTTCTTTTATGTTTTTAATTTAATGGACATAAATAGTTTTTTTTTTTTATGGACGGCCAATGCCACCGCATTAAATGATCCTCAATAACTTAGATTTAGGAAGCGATTGCTTGGTGAATTTTTTGAATTTTTTTCCTGAGATAATATAATTTGTTTTTTGTAGTTTGGATCAATGAGAGGAGAATTTGGATATTGAGTTTTTTTTTGAGACTTAGCATTGAAGTTTTAATAATATTTGATTTGTATAGTTCAAAATTTTTTCAAATCTTCTGATTTTTTTTTTTACTTTTTGAACTCGGCTTTTCGCTAAATTTGTTTAAAAGTATTATAATAAATTTTTAAAGTTTTATTCTATTTTGTTTTATTTCAGATTTATAAATTGTTTTTAAGTTTTAATAATATTTGATTTGTATAATTCAAATTTTTTTCAAATCTTCTGACTTTTTTTTGTAACTTTTTGTACTCAGCTTTCACTAAATTTGTTTAAAAGTATTATAATAAATTTTTAAAGTTTCATTTTATTTTATTTTAGATTAATAAATTATTTTAAAGTTTTTTGTAAGAAATAATAAATATATTTATTTCATATCATACAACACAAAACAATATACAACTAATTATACGATGAAATTAAATATTTTTATGATATTATAAAAAATACAATATAAAAATTCACAAATAAAATACTTAAAAATATTTTGTTTGTAATACCAAAAAATAAGCTTCACTTTTTAGTTTCTAAAGAGTTTTAAAGCTTTAAGGGGCATTAAAAAGCCCAAAAACCAAATGCCAAAAAAAAAAAAAAAATCTGACTTTTGCTGCTTTATTTTTTTTCTTCAGCTGAATTCTTCCTATTTTTGAATTTTAGAGAATCTCAAAATATTTTTGAAACAAACAAATCAAACTTTATTTTTTAATCACTTTTAAAAACTGAATTCAAATATAGAGCAACTATTGGGCTTTTATTCTTACTTTTAGCTCTAAATTCTCAAAGGCTCAATACGGAATACTCTGCTCTATTTGTTAGGAAAGAATAAAGCAGAGCTACCAAAAATTAAAAAAAAAGAAAGAATAAAAAAGAAAAGAGGAAAAAAAACTCTGATCTATATCTATGCCTGGCCCTATAAAACACGGAACTCTTGTAAGCGGTTCATTTTTCTCCTGCTTGATAGAGTCGTCGCATCCGCGTGAAGAAGAAGGAAAGAGAGGGAAAACCCTAGCAAGACCTAGAATATGTCTGGCATGTACGGTCAAGAGGGCGACGGATCTGGTCCTCCGCCCGCTGGAGGAGGCTACGGAGGTAGCGGCGGCGGGAACTATGGTGGTGGAGGTGGGGGCTACGGTGGCAGCGGTGGTGGAGGATACGGGGTTGGGGGTTCTGGAGCATACGGCGGTGGCGAAGGATATGGAGGTAGCGGTGGCGGGGGAGGAGGATACGGCGGCGGTGGCGAGGGAGGATATGGTGGTAGCGGTGATGGAGGATATGGAGGCAGTGGCGTTGGGGGTTTTGGCGGCGGTGGAGGCGGAGGATATGGAGGTGGTGGTCGTTATGGGGGAGGAGGCGGTGGCCGAGGCGGCGGCAGAGGAGGAGGAGGAGGTGGTGGGTATGGAAACTCACAGAATCGAGGTGCTTATTTTTTGTTGATCCTGTTCTAAGTGTATTTTTAGATTCATTGATTTCAGTTTTCATGTAATCGTGCATATTTACTGTTTTTATTTGTAACTTTTTTGCTTTATCTGGTTCGGATTGCAGGTGGTGGTGGTGGTGGATATCAAGGAGGAGATCGGGGCGGTAGAGGTGGGGTGGCGGCAATAGAGGTGGCGGCCGTGGTGGTGGAAGCGGCAGGGAAGGCGACTGGCGTTGCCCCAATCCTAGGTATCATCTTTTGGATCTGGAATTTCCACTGGAGTTTGTGTTGTAGTATGGAGCTTGTTACTTGGATTAGTTGTTAGGAATATAATAGTTCACCCTTACTGTTAGTTTGATGGGAATGATTCTCGAAAAAATATTACAATTTTTCTCCCACCAGCTGAACTGATGGTATTTATTGCAAATCTCCTAAAATCGTGTTGATGTGCGCTTAAATTGTTTCCAAAATTCATTGCTTTATTCAAGACCCCTTTCTTGCCGAGGCTTTTTCTAATTTGAGCCAATTTGTCAAACAAAGGAATCCTACCAACTTGGTAAAAGAAAGAATAAAAGAAGTAATGAAAGAAGAAAATTTTGATAGGTACTAGAATTTCATTGGTTTTGTTTTTACAAATAAATGTTATTGATCTGGTTACATTGTTGTAGTTGTGGGAATCTGAACTTTGCGAGACGAGTTGAGTGTAACAAATGTGGTGCTCCTCCCCTGCTGGTGCTGGAGATCGTGGTGGTTATAGAGGAAGTGGAGGGGGACGAGGTGGTAGAGGTGGTAATTTTGAAGGTGGAAGAGGTGGGGGCAGCAGAGCTGGTTCCTTTGGCAATGATCAAGGAAGAAATGATGGTGGTTATGGTCAAGTTGGTCCCCCTTCTTATGGTGGATCAGGTGGCAGTTATCCACCACCTACAAATAATTATGGTGCGAACCCTAGCTATGGAACAGATGCAGTTCCTCCACCTACAAGCTATACTGGTGGACCTAATTCGTATCCCCCGTCTTATGGTGCTCCTGCTGGTTATGGTGGTGATGCTGTGGGTGATGCTCGTAATGGTGGTCGAGGTGGCCGATCGGGTGGATATGATGGAGGTTATGGTGGTCCTCCCCGAAATGCTGGAGGTGCTTTTGGTGGTCCTTCAGCTGAGGCTGCAGCAAAGGTGAAGCAATGTGATGAGAACTGTGGAGATACATGTGACAACTCACGAATCTACATCTCAAATTTACCTCCAGATGTGACTATTGATGAATTGCAAGAGCTTTTTGGAGGAATTGGCCAAGTAATATGCAATTCTTTTTACTTTTATTTATTTAGTTTTTGGTCAAGTGCATTTCAAAATATTTTGCCAGAAGCCCTTGAAGCAGATGTGATCCAAGATATCTGAATAATATGGATTTTGCATTTCATGAATTTCTTGACAGTACATGGATCTTCTTAATCAGGGTGTTTTAGTGCCACAGTATTTGTGTTCCCTTGGCATTTGTCCATGGTCCTTTGCCACATTTCAAGATGATGTTTGATATTTGTCTAGTAGTTATGTATTTTACATACGTCATTTATGCATTCAGATGAGATTAATATAATTCATACAATATTATTCATCTTCACCATGGGTCAAATTGAAACTATGGAGGGGTCTACTCCTGTTTTGGCTCTTATACATACTGTAATTCTTCTAAGAGCTCAGTTTTTTTTTTTGGCTTTTTATAGTCATTAACTAGGACGGTGAATATCATCTCTTGATCGGTCTAATAAAATTTTTTTACGATCCAGTTTGTTTCTGAAAAGACATTAAGTGGTTTAGCTTAGGATTTCTCTGCTGCACGTATCACTACAGTTTCTCTTCATATCTATCATAATTATAAATAAACAACTCATCTCACCATGGCTACTTCTTGAATTCTCAAAACTTCTATCATTCCATCTTTGTTTGTTCTTGTCAGTGTTGCATATGAAGCTGATTTTGCATCTGCTACTGTGTCATAAAGAGGATAATGAGTGGCAACTAGAAACTTGATGCACTTGGTTAGTGTTGTAATTGCCTTTTTTGAAGTCTTAATACCTTCTTTATTTATTTAGGTTGGTAGAATTAAGCAAAAGCGAGGCTACAAGGATCAATGGCCTTGGAATATCAAAATATACACAGATGAGCAAGGAAACAACAAAGGAGATGCATGTTTGTCATATGAGGACCCATCTGCAGCTCATTGTGCTGGCAGTTTTTACAATGGTATGCGTTTAATCCAGATTCCTGAACCTAAGTGGAGGCATTTAATATTCTCTAATGGTTCTAATAAATTTGTCTTTTCAGGTTACGATATTAGAGGTTTCAAAATTAGTGTTGCAATGGCAGAGAGGTCCGCCCCAAGGGCCCCTACGTATGGTGGAGGGTAAATTCTTATACACCCATGCCCCTGCTATAGGATATTTTTTGGATTCTATCACGACCCTATAATATGCCTATAGCGGATGAATATGTGCAAGCATGTTTTGTTTCTTTTGGGTTGAAGTTAATTTCTAAAAGTTGTCGCAGTCATTACTTGATGTGAACTCGGCAAGTTTAGTTTTATTCAAGCTTTAAATTGCTAGGCTTGTTTTACAATTTCCAATGCTTTGGTTTTGTTTTGTTGGTATAGTAAGTTGCTTTGTTTGTTGAGGAATGAGGAGCAATTGAATGTTCAGACATTATATGATGTCAAATTCTGGTTGAAAACATCTGTGGTAAATCATATGCAATATTGTGATTCATGGTTATGACTGTACTTTCTGTCTTGAATTAAGGACTAAGAGCAATGTAGAGATGTTCATGGTTCGGTTTGATGCATAAATTCAAACCAAACCATACTTTCAGTTTGTGATTTTTATAAACTAAACCGAACCACAATTTACGGTTTGATTCGATTTGAAACTATGGTTTGTGATTTGTAAAATAGAATTGATTAAATTCATTATTTATATAAAAATTTTGACAATTTTTCTAAAAATTGGTCATCTATTTTTTTAAATTATTTAATTTAATAAATTCATTATCTATTAATTAACTGTAATAGTTATACATTGTATAGTAAATATATTTATACAGTATTACATAATTTCATTTATACTAATAGAGATCACGCTTTAAAAAGAAAAAATAATCAATTATTAGAATAAATATAAATATAAAAGATAACAAAAAAGAAGAAATATGCAGTAAAACAATAAAAGTATACTATATATAGAGAGATAGGATTTTTAATTTTGTATATATATAAAGTTGAACTATATAATTTGATTCGGTTTATATGATTTGTATAAATGTCAAATATCAAACCAAACTGTATAAAAAGAATCTCTTTCCAAACCAAACTGAACCAAACCATAGTTTTATAAGTCTAAACAATTTGGTTCGGTTTGTTAAACACCCATAGTTTAACGTATACTTCTCAACTAAGAGCATGTATGGATACACTGACATGGCAACTTTGAAAAACACTTGGGGACATGTCTAGAAGATCTAAATTTTTTGATATTTATATTTATTACATGTAAAACTAGAACATTTTAAAATGATAAAAAATAAAAGAAATATCAACAATCAAATGGTGGGACATGCCACCTAACATGAAACAAAAACCACATCCACTTATAACAATTATTTCATATTGTTCTTGCAAAATATTAATGTTGGGTGAATGTTATTTAAAATAGGAACACTCGTGTTGATGTGCTAAGAGGCATATCCAAGTATCATCAGGTGTTTCCAAGTAGAACAAGTGTGCTTGAAACAAAAAACAAAAAAAGATAGAAGTTCAGACATGCCACATGGTTTGTCTAATGTGTCTGGTGTCTGATATGTGGCTTGATGTGTCTGAAGCATCCATGGGCAATACGTGTTAGACATGGACATGTTACGCCAAATGGAGTGTCTTCCTAGCTTCTCAATGCAATAAGCCTGTTGACTTGTAATTCCTTTTTGACAGAATTTCAGGGGAAGTTTGTTTTTGATATGTTCTTATGCATTATTGTTTCTTATTTGATGTTTGTCTCTCTCCCCCTTTTTTTTTGGGTGAAGAGAACCTTTGAACATGTATTTATATGATTTCATATCTAAGTGTGCTTAAATGCGACTTTTCTTGTAATATTAATAGTCTTGGCTATGTAGCTTTTGTTGCTACTTGATAGTATGATTTGCTATTGAAGGATTATTTCCATCTCTATAGTCGCTGGATATGGTTTTAGTAGATCATTAGTTCTAATTCAATAGGGCAAAGCCATAACATTTTCAACTGCTAAATTTACAAGAGATGGAGTTCATAAGTGGGGGAAACATGTGGAAAATAAATCAATTAGATGCAAGTAAGGTTGTATGTCCATCCGATATTTATAAGAGGGGATATTCATGTTTATTACTGATGGCTTGGTTATTACTGTGAATAAAAAAATGTCTATATGTGATTATGACCTTATCATGTTGTCATGTTTAGCATCAACTATATTCCCATCATTTTGATATATAAGCTTATGATACTTGTGGTGCTAGATTTATTTTTGTTATATGACTGCAACTCTCCCCCCTTCTTTTTTTTTCGGGGGGGGGGGGGGGGGGGGGGTGTGGTGTTGCGGAGAGGAGAGTTTTGCAACTCTGAATGAAACCAATTATAAGATAAATACCTTTTCCAATACGTTTGTACTTGACTGGTAGTTTGTTTTAAACTACAGGGGTGGAGGTAGAGGCGGATATGGGGGAGGTGGAGACAGACGCAGAGACAATAATAGAGATGGTGGAGGCTCAGGTCCAGACAGAAATTATTATAGTGGAAACCGTTCTCGCCCATACTAAAGTTCAGAGGAGAAATATATGTACTAAAAATTTGTGGTTGAAGTGATTTAATTATGTTCTGTTCGCGGAGTTGTTCTCATACTGGAGTGGAGACAAAGAGGTAGGTTGTTCACTTACTCTGAGCAATACCCCTTTTCTCCCTTTCCAATCATTTTCTGGATGGAGGGTTTTTATATTTGAGTATGGAATTGATTTAAGTTGTGTGAATGTTTTTTTAGAGCCAAGTGGATATTCTCCAAATTGCTGCTAAGTGCTAAGGTAGGTTGAAATTTTCAGGTGAGTGTTGCTTCATCTAACTATGCACATGTATGCTAGTATGGACTTGCTAGGTGCATTCTGGATTTGCTTCGATGATAACTGTTGTTGCATCTTCATATGGTGTTGGTATCAAAGAAGCTGCACCCGAATGTGGTGTTCATGACTCTTAGCATTATCAATTGATAATTAAATATTAAACCTCTAGGAATGGTAGGTTCTTGGTCTTAGTTATCGATGTTTGAAGTCCTATTCCAATTTCGGGTCTAAGCTGTTATCAAATGTGGCCTTCTTTCATGTCTTTCTAAAGTTAAAGTCTTGTTACCAACTTCTCTACAACCTTGAAGACATTAAAAACACGTGCTAGCCATTCAAGGAAATGTCTGAGTGTTCATAACATTGTAATCACATCATTTTGGTCCAAAAAGAGAGTTATCAGAGGAGAGAAAGTTCTATTTTTTCCCCTATTTGTTGATTATGTCAAGAAGTCGACTTCTAGTTTATGCTTGGGATTTATTTTATTTTATTTTTTTAAATCTGCCCTATTTTATGGAGTCTTCCACAATATTTTGCCTCCTTTAATCTCCCTTTTTCACACATCAATAAGGGGATCGTCAATACATGATTTATGAGTCCACCCCTATTCCAACTCTCACAGGCCCATGGGTTATATGAGACGGTTGAGCCACTCACCCACCCTTCACATGAGTGCTTTGCTAGGGTGACAATGTTGCAGCACAATATTTTTCATATACAATCTTTCCTCATTATGCTATCCCAACAAAAATGCTTGATAAAAGTTTGCTGACATTTATGTGTTTATTTTATTTAATGTGGTTGCATGGGCGTGATGTTTAGATATTTTACCCATGATTGTAGGTGACAATAATTAGAAAAGTAGGAGAATGGTGAATTCTCGGCTGTTAGGGCTTCATCCTAGAATAAGCGTGTCTCAATTTTGTGGGACTTGCATGTGGTTTTGATCTGCTATTAATAATTTTTCATACTATGTTTCTGAGAGCTTCATTAGTGGTCTCTCTCTCTCTCTCTCTCTCTCTCTCGTATTGTTTGGTTTTGCTGAAGTTGGAAATGCTGTAGCAGGATGAAGTCAATGATTTGACCAATTAAAACTTTGCCACATGGTACCCGTGTTTCAATATGATATCCCCTTCAATAATTAATCTCCCTATGTGGCAAATTGTTATTTTGTTGCTTCGCCAACTTCATGCGGTTTCATTTCCAAGCCCAGCAAAACCCATTTTCTGGTTGTGGTTGCAACACAGTTAATTATATAGGAATGGTAATTATTTTGGTTGGGGAGAGCGATTTGGGTGTCTTCCCGTAAGTATGGTCAGGAAAGTTGGGATGGTTGATGTGTCCTAGTTGATTCAACATTAAACACTTCGGATAAGAGCAGTATATTCTTGGCGTGCGAACAGCATTTGGGGCCGTCCTTCAATGAGCGCTTATTTTCAGGGGTTTTTGGCGTCGTGTGTATTAGCCTTCAGTATTCAGCTGACGTTTCACGGGGAAGAGGAGTCATTGGTCTTCAGAATTTTTAGCTGCAGCAATGACTGGGTGTTTTCTTTTTGAAGTAGATAATGATCGCTGACACCAACGACTGATTAACTAAAGCTTGTAATCTAATGTATTACTGCCCTGCCCTGTCAAGGTGTTCGTTTTTGTTGTGGGTAATATTGGTGATTATTGATTCTGGGATTGGGGGAATTTCTTTGCCGTCGTGTTTGTATAGGAGGGCGTGCTTTTGTAGTCGGTGCTACGTGGAGAAAGCATTTAATAAGATGATAAACTCTACGTGGCATACTTAATCAACGGTAAATAATCAATTTGTGATTTCGGATCTTTTCTGATTTCTGGGTGATAACGGTAATGTTGTTTGAAAACATGTTTTTTTTTTTTTTCTCCTTTTTTTTAGTAAAAAGGTTTTGTTGTATGGTATCATATTGCCTGGTTTGCATCATTTGGTGACGGGAGAAAATCTGAAAACTCAAGGTAATGCGGTCAGTTGTCATTTTTTGGTGTGGTTAGTCACCAAAATGAGGAGAATTCTTGTTTGTTTTCCCAAATGGGAAAAAAAAATGTACTTAACCAATATGATCAATCGCGGTTTTTTGAAGAGAAACAAATTTTTATTGAAATGGTGTAATTTGGTGTGTAATTTGTTTCTCCAATTTCTCGTAGAGTTGATATTTCGCTGTAGAATTGAATAAATTAAAGCAACTGATGAAATAACGCAAGTGTCATAGGTCTCTGAAAAAGATGGTTGGTCGTTGTCTCTTGTTATTAATTATCGTTTTTAGAAACAAAAATATCGTGTATATTAGAGTTTTATAATTTCACTTTTTAATATCATTATTGAGAATTTTGAAAACAATATTTTTCTAGAAGTCTTCACTAAAATGAGTCCTGTCATAGTGCTCGACAAAAACCATGGAACTGTAGCTGTCATGGAAAACGTAAATTCACGAGGGAATTTAAGGGTTGCTCATTTGATGGTTTTCAGACTCAAGACACAGTTTACCAAAGAGGGTGCTTAAAGTCAAATTTTCCATTTTTCATTTTTATTAAATAAATAATTCTCAAGCAGTTAGAATTGCAAATTAGCATTTTTGCTTTTTTCCTTTAAAGCGAAGGTTTTGTTTTTTTTTGTTTTTTTCTCTTCTCTTGGTTGCAGCCAAGTTACGCAAGTGAAAAATAAAAGGGTAGGGGGAGGCGTGTAACGTGAATGAATCATAACAAGTCAACAATTAGGACAACGGCTTAGGTCAAAAAAGCCGGAAACATATTCGGATGGGGCTAAGGGCGTATCTGGGCGGCGTTACGGTGGGCATGAAGTCTCTCCTTTAAATATATTTTCTTTTTTCTATTTTATATAAGTCTCTCCTTTTAAATATATTTTCTATTTTATCTTCTACTTTTTGTGGACGGATTAAATTTTTAAATGTTCAGGTCAAAAATTAACTTTATTGATTTATTTTAAATGTTCCCAACTATTGATGTAATTTTAATAACCATAAAAAACCATTTATTTCTATTTTGCCTCTTAAAATGTGATACATCCACATCCGGGTTACGAGGTCCAAATCGAGTCTTGTATTTTGTTTGTGTTTTCATGCATGGCTTAGTTTTTTTAGAAATTGAAATACACACGTGTGTGTGTGTGTGTGTATTAAATTTGATAATTTTTTTGAGAAATGATAATTTATAAAATTGTCATTTGTTAGTTTTAATAATTGTCCAGTATATTTTTGTCTAAATATAAAATTATTTTTGTCAATTTGGATATAATTTTTTTAAATTTTAAAAAATCAAACATAATCTCGGGGTGCGGCGTTTAAGAATCAATCCAGTTAAAATTCAAACGTTAGTTTAATTGGTTAAAAAATTGATTCCATTGGTGTGGAACATTGAGAAATGCCCCGCCTCCCAGGGGCAATTTGTACTGAGGTGGCAAGCTGTTATTGGCTGGCGTCGATGTACTTTCCGCCAAAACGTATTTAAACGAGAGCAGATCTGCAAACGAAGTGCTATATCCATTCTACATGTCCAACGCAGTCGCAGAGCAAATTTTCCTCTTCCGCACCCTAATTAATCAAAGAAGGTGATTCTCGCATCTCAATTTCTACACCTAATTATTCTCTTAATTTCCGTTAAGGATCCAAAGCCTCTTCTTTCTTCTCAGGTTCGACAACGGAACTCTGCAAATTCTCGAGGCGATTCTGGTCTCCAGGGATGTGAAGTCGTTGCTTGAAGTCCGGTCGAGCTTGAGAGAGCTCATGAGGAGCGAATCTCTCCGTATTGTTGGTGAAATTGCAGGGACAACCGTTGAGCATAAGCTTTCGGTTCTCGAATTTCTTGTTCGCGCATTTGCCCTCACCGGAGATGTTGAGGCAAAAATTTCGACTATACTTCATCTTCCTCTGTTAAATCAACTTGTGTCCCTATTATTGACCAATCCTGGATATTATTCAGTTATTTGATCTGTATTTATTAGGCATCTATGTTCTTGCCCCGAACATACAGTGTCTTGAAGTCAACAGCTTATTTCTAGAATTCTGGTCATTTTTATGTTGTTTTGGTATTAAAATGAGAAGTCGCTTACAGCTATCACTATGTGTAGTTATAATCGTTAGTTAATGCTGGTTTGTCCAGAAAGATTGAGAAACTCCTTTTCTTTTCAACTCATATCATTGACAAGTCAAAGTGATTGTCAATTGACGTCACTTGGCTCAGCTCTTTATTTTCTAGTTTCAAATTTGTTGTTTCAATTGATTAATATCATTCCAACCTTAGAAAATCTCGCGGCCAAAATATATATATATAAAAGAAAAGTGTGAAAATCAGTAAATTCTACTCTATTTTGAGGCTTATACGGGAAAAGTCCGTTCAGTTTATCTTTGCCACTTACTTGTGCTATGCGCAGCGAGCTATTTTCATTTACTCTGTGTATGACATAATCAGGCTCTTCTAAACTTTCTTGATTAAAAATACTAGATCTCTTTTATAGTATTTAATGTATCTTTGTCTTTCTTCATTCTTTTTCCAGAGTTGCTTGGCTTTCAGATATGAAGCTTTAATTCTACGGAAATTTAGGTCTACAAGTAACAAATTGCTACAGGTTTCATGTAGTGAATGGATGACTTTTGCTAAACATTTACTAGATAACGGCTTCTATTCCATTGCTAGAAAGGTAACATTGTTCTGATATTAAAGTTTTAACAAATCTCATCCTCCCTCATTGCATGTTTTGTTGGTTCACATGGACTCTCAATGTTTAATATAATCCTTTTTTCTTTTAATTTTTATTTCCTGGACCAATGGAATGTGCTGAATGTGGCTTGGAGTAGTTGCTTTTTGAATAAATTTTCACTGAGTGGACATGACAGTTATTAGAGGTAGATAAGTGGTTGAATGCTTTATTCAAATTTTAAGAGAACCGGTTAATTAGAGATTTTACTCAGAAAAAACTTTCAGAACAAACATTTTTCATTTTAGTTTTTCTTATTTGCTTTTGGCATATATTATTTGAATTGATTGTTTCTTTTGGTTTTCTTGTGATCAGTTGCTTTGATGCTTTTGCTTTGTTCTTTTGTGGATGTCTATTTGCATTTTGTGATAGCTTTATTTTCCTGATGTAATTTTTTTTAATGGTTAGTAAGGCAATAGTCTTTCCACTATTATTGATTTGAAAATAATTCTTTGTATAGGGACTAAAATAAATGGAGAAAATATATTTGCCATTAGATTTTCTCGTCTTAGAAGCTAAGAACTTTCTGATTCTTCTTCTTCTTCTTCTTCTTCTTTTTTTTTTTTTGGGGGGGGGGGGAGGGTGGGGGGGTTATCCTCGTCCACATCTTGGCCACATAACTTATTAGGAAAGCAAGTCAAGACAATTCCTTAATCTCTCTGTAGCTTAAGTATTCATGCTAGATTTTTCCTCAGTTCTATATCTGTCAAATCAATCTGTTTGAGTTGTAAAAATTTTATCAATGCGTAGCTGCTCATATTCTTCTTTTCTTGAATTTTACTTCCATATCTTCTTTTGATTTTTACATATGGCATGTGGCTATGAACTTTCTCCAATTCTGGACTGAAGGCTACATGATTGCTTGATTTAGTATGGCTTTCAATTTAGGCCTCTACATTTTGCAGGCATATGAACATGCGATTTCATCCTTTCAGATGACTGGTGGGGTTGGCACTCATGCAGATGACTCCTTTATAAATGATGAAGCTATTGAGAAAATTAAGAAACTGAAGGATGTTGCTATGGTGTCATCTGCTTCACAATCTGGTATGTGTTATGGTAATAATTGTTGAAGTTCATTTATTTCAAAGATGATGGCCCTGGCTAGAGATATTTATTGCAGATGGTACTATGGGGTGCTGGCCATAAATGCAGCAGAATATAGAAATGCTGTCTGTGAATATTTTTTCTCGCTGTCATATTGTTTCCATGAAATGTTACCCAGATGGCTTAGAATCTAATCAACGGAAGCATATATTTTACATGAAGTGTGATACCACACCTCCGAATGTAACTTATTTTGCATTGAGGACTTATTCAATGACTTCAAATGGTACATTCTATCTCTCAGCTGTTTAAGCTGATACCAAAACAGTGTTATCAATGGCATATGGTAGCCCATGGCAGTAAGTCAAAAAACTGCCATGGCGGATGGCGTGGCGGCCAAATAGTAGACAAGAAAAAAAAATTAAAATTTACAATAAAAACTTGTAAAACAATTAAAAACTTATATTAAATGAAAATAAACATCATTGCATTAATTTATAACAACCAAATAAGTGTCACAAGCATTCACAAGGAAGAACAGAAGACACAAATTAGAGTCAAATTCGCAATAACAAACTTAAACATACAAAATAGTCTTAAACCACACAAATTCTCATTCATCCTCGTCCTCCATGTAATTCTCCTTCTTATCATTGTATTTCCCATAATCACTTGAAGCATATCCCACTTCATCTTCTAAGCTATCTTTAGTATCTTCTTCCTCCAAATCCACCAATTCTTCTTCTTCAAAGGGTCTTGCTTTTGCACTAGAACTTGGACTTTGCTTCTTTTCAGCTCTTGCACTTGAGGATTCGTCTTCATTTCTTGCTTTCGACCTTAGGTCCTCATTTCTTCAAATCTTGTTGCCCTATAAATAGTCTCCCAATTCAAAGTGTCATCATCTTCATGAATCAACTCATTTTTAGCATTATCCTCATCTTCCATTTCTCCAACCAGCCACTCATTACATCACTCATTACAATCATCAATATTAGAGTGAGAGATTGGGTCAATCTCGTTCCTACAATTATAACGCTCCTTAAGTGCTTGGTTATAGTTCACAAAAACCAAATCATTTAATATTTGATGATTAAAGCTATTCCTTTTTTTGCTATGAACCTGCAGTATCAATTAAATTCAACAATTCATAACTAGTTTACTAAGTCACTAATTAGAAAGGATAACTAAACAAGACTATAAATCAAAGAGAAGAAATTATATGCTCAAAAAATTCCAATCACGTTCACAGCCGGATGCACTACATGTTAAGTTTAAAATATTGGTAGCTAATTGCTGCAAGTTAGGGGTTGATTGTCTAAACATATGCCACCATTCAGTTACAAAGTTATAAATACTTATCAAGAATTTATAGAACTTAAGTCTATAAAAGATAAGAGTTGAAAATTTAAATTAAAATTTACTTAAATAAGTAATATAAGTCTCTCACCAGGTGCCATGATTTTCTTTTGTGATATCACGAAGTTATTTTCAAAAAGGCCACTAGCACTCTTATAAATTGGCAACTTATTAAGAATTTTCTGTTATACCTCTTCATTTAGTACTAGTCTCCTAAGGCATTGATACATTCTAAAGGTAATCTCAAAATCAAATTCAATACTTGGATTGTCATAGAAATATTTAGGGTTTAGAAAATGACTAGCAGCATATAATGGATAGTGAAATTGGTAATTCCATCTCTTATCAATGATTTCAAATATCTCCTTGTAGTTCTTTCGTCTCTTTTAAAGGACCGCATGATAGCTTCCTTAACCTTTTCCATTGCTTCATAAATATAGCCTATTACTGGTGTATTTTCACTATCAACAAGTTTAAGGACTTTAACAAGAGGTCCATCACCTTCAGAGCGTAAACAACTTTGGGCTGAAAACTAGGCATCAATGCAATCTTTGCTACCTCTTTCCCTTCAGAATCCTTGGCCGAATTACATTTTGCCCATTACTTTAAAAAGAACATTCTTTTAATGTTCTCCTTTCTTGATAAAGTTTCTCCAATAAAAGGAAGCTTGTAGCAAGCCAAGTGATAGCATGCCTAACCAACTCCCCTTTATTTGTCAAGCTTCTCATCAAGTTTAAGGCAATTGAGTGGTTATAAATGAATTCAACAAGAGTAATGGCTCTTTGTATTGTTTTCTTGACTTCGGGAATCTTTCCAACATCTTCCAACATAAGGTTTATATAATAAGGGGCACAAGGAGTCCAATAAAGGTGCTACCTTTTTATAACTACCCGAGTGCTACTGGCCTGAATAATTTGTTGAGTTTGAACCGTTGGTCCAAGATGCTTAAGCTCAAGTTGTTTAGTAGTAGTCTCAAGTCTCTTATATACTATATCATATCATTAGAAATTGATGTAGGATGAGATACCACAATTTTTTCACTTAACACTTGATGTTCTCGTCAAGTCACAAATTCATATTCATATTCATATCCAAACAGAACATGTTCAAAAATCATTTTGGTCTAATACCATTTGTAACAACCTGAGAGTTACTAGCTTAAATAACTTATTGAGTCTAAACTACTAGCCCAAGATGTTTAAGTCCAAGTTATTAATTAGTAGTCTCAAATCTCTTATATACTATATCATATCACTATTAGAAATCAATGTAGGATGAGATATTACACTTTTATCTTCAACATATTTCCAGCTATAACATAATTACTTGCATTGTCAGTTATCACTTGAACCATCTTCTCCTCACTAGTCTTATCTATAAGAGCATCAAGATACTCAAATATCTTCTCATCGGTCTTTGTATACTTCAATGTATCAATGGATTTTACAAATATTGTCTTGGCTGGAGAGTTCACCAAGAAATTGATCAACTCTCTTTGTTTCCCATCAATCCATCCATCTGACATAATAGAGTAGTCATGTTTTTCCCATTTCAATTTGTGACCGCACATCAATTGTTAGGTATGTGCCACCTCCTTCTTGAGGAGTGGAACCCTTATCTCATTATAAATTGGCCCTTTTAAACTTGAACCGTAGGCTCCAATGGCTTTAATCATATAATGAAAACTCTTCAATTTGATGGCATTGAATGAAACTCCAGCTTGATAAAACTATCTAGCAATGTATTGATTCATTCTCTTCCTTGCTTCTTTGTCACATGCCTCCCCTATGGTTGATTGCCTCATTTTCTCCATTTTCTTTTTGCAATAATAGATTCTAGTTTTTGGAACATATATAAATCCATGGGACCTTTCATGCTACTACTACTATTTATGGTCTTGGCTTTCTTCTTCTTAGCCCTCATCACCTCTCTTAGACCTTCTTCTTTTTCATCATAACCAAATCCTAAAATCTCCAAATCAATACTAGCTCCTCCAGTACTTTCCATCTCCTTCTCTTGGTTGTTCTTATCTGTTCTCTAAAATAATTCTACAACTCTTTTCTAACATCCTTTGGACAATCGGGACAAGCTGCAACATTACCCTTTTTTCCCATTAGGTGGTACTTTGCTCTAGTAATCCCTCCCTTTGTAACTTTCTCACAGAAATTACAAATTACAATATTTGTGTCACCCTCCCTCAAATGATAACAATACTTCCATCCTGGGTTTGTCTTATTACTATTGGTGGGAGAAGCAAATACAATAGATGAAGCTTGTGAAGAACCTACAGTTGTCGTGATTCACCTAAAAACATGATAAATGGTTGTTGTTATGGGTGGGTATGAATGAAGAGCAGGTTAGGATATTTTTAAAAAAAATTAAAAAAATTACACCCAGATGTACATAGTAGAACAGAGGGGTGAGACTCAGCTCCCGTTCTTCTCTCAGCTCTCGCTTGTAGGTCTTAGAGCTTGACTCTCGATAGCACATGGAGTTTGACTCTCACTTGACAGTTCTTGGCTCTCATCTCTTAGCTCTCGCTCAACTTTGGCTCTTGTCTCTCACTTGACTTTGGCTCTCATCTCTCGTCCCTTGTCCCTCGATCGGCTGTAGCAATCACATGTGATGGATTGTTTGGCTCTGGCTCTCATCTCTTGTCCCTCAATTGACTCTGGCAATCATAGGCGATGAGTCTCGTCACTTGTTGTTTCGACTTCGACCCTTACATGTAAAATGGTTTTTACGCTCAACAGTGGTGCTTACAGGAGAAGGAGACCCATTGACTAGCCCAATCCAAGCCCTAGCCCGTTTTGCAACCCACGTTGAAGCCCTTAGGCTAGCCAAGGACCATGGTGCATCAGCAAACCACAGCTTGAGTCTGCTTACAGCCATGGCGCTGCCATGACGCCACGACCATTGCGAATGCCATGGTGCCGCTATACAAAAATCACTAAAGGCAGATGGCTATGTGGTGGAATTTTGAAATTCTGCCACCGCCATGGCTGCCATGTTATAAAACTGTATCAAAATAAATAAATAAATAAATGAACGAATGAATGGATGAATGAATAAATAAATGAAAAAAAAAAGAAAAAAATGCATTCATGAGAAGAAAAAATTGCATTCATGAGACTGTTAATGTTTTTATCCCATTCTGTTACACAAAATCCTGTATGCTAAACTGAAATGGATCTGACAGACTGCAACTTGTTTTGTGCAATTTGTGGCAAAATATGCTGATATCAATCTCACAAGTATTCTGACACACCTTTCTTATCAAGCTTGGCTTCTATTATTCTGAACGTGTGTAGAAAATTGATTTACATTAATGGTTTTTGGACTGCAATGTCAAAAATTTAGGTGGCTTAACATCTAATGCATGTGAAATCAATGGCCTGGTTTAAATACTCGGTGGTATAATATTAACTTTCAAGTAACATTTCTTGATTTACTCTCTCTATCATAGGAAAAATAAACTTACAACCTGGAGATGCCTGTTAAGGGTATAGGTTGAAGGTGAAAGTTGATGTCTAGTTTGGTGATTGTAGAAAATGGCCAGAATGTCCTGAAAAAGCCTATTGTAGAAAATGGCCAGAATGTCCTGAAAAAGCCTATGTAGCAGTTGAATGGATCTCTGATTTATTTAAATCAAATGTGCTTTTATTATTTGCCAGGGATTTTATTCTTGGGAAAAGGCTACAAATTGTTGTCTTGTTAATGAGTCCTGCAAAATGAATTCAAGAACTAAAATTGCCCTCTCTAAAATTTGAGATTTGTAAACAATAATTTCCATGTGTTAGCTGTTCATTTATCTGCAACAGACAGAGTTATGGAAGCAAGATTTCTTTTGTCTGATACATCCTTGTTATATAGACATTTAAGATCGGTAAAATCTTCTATTGTAGTCCACGACGATGTGTTTTTTTCTTGATCACTCTTGATGGATCATTGTGGTAACGAATTTCTGCATTGGAGTATTTAATCAGTGGTCGGACGTATGGTAACATTCTCTGTTGTGACTTTCTGCTTGCTGATGAATCAGTTCAGGCACAGGCAGCAGAGCTCCTGAAAAGGAAAAGAATGGAGACAAACATAGAATTACCATTGGCGGGTAAAGAAGCAAAATACTCAGCAAGCAATCGGTTTAGAGATGGAATTAGGAAGCGTAACATACGGAAATTGCGAGACCACCAATGCATCAAGCAGACTATTAGTGAAACATATCCTGATCTATATTGAGTTTGTTGCCTATTTTCCTTGACTCGTGCTAAATGTTTCATAAATTTTGCATGATTTGATTATTGATAAGTAACATTGGAGACAAAGTCTTTCCATGCCAATTGCTGTACTGGCATTGCTGGACCTAATTCTGCACATGGGGAGTTTCTTATTGCATTAGTGGCTGGTAGCAAGTTTTGATGACACAAAGTCTTTCCCTGCATCTTGATTGGTAAGGACAGATGTATCTGAAATCCCTTCATAATACCAAGGGCTTGGCACACGGGTTATTACTATACATCTTACAATTGGGAGGTCCAAGCCTCATAAGAGACATGCTGTCCCCCAAATTCCCCGCTCCCACCATCCTTACTGTAGTCCCTATCAAAATAGAAGAAGAAAAATGAAAAGATTTTTCGTGTGGATGGCAATTCAAATTGGGATTCTTTCATGGATTTCATGCCCAAAATGTAATTGTTTGATTTTATATTAGTTTTTTTCCCTAAGTTTCTCCCGGTTCATTCATTTGTTACGTTTATATGCTTGGCACGTGTAGTGTAAGCTTTGTTACATAATTAAAGATGTCTATATTTCACCAAAATTGTCTATATATGTGGTCAAAGTTTTGCAGGATCGTCTTGTTTGTACACCTTCCACTGGAGGTTATTTAAGTCATTTTTGTAGTCATTTTCTGGCCTGGCTAGGCATCGACAATATCCTGCTTTGGCACATTTCTAGCAGCTTAAGTTGCAGATTTCGTCTTGGTAGATCTCATAGTTGCAGCACTATATGAGCCATTGGGAGAACCAAAAAAAAAAAAAACAAAAAAAAAAAAACAAAAACAGCATGTCCATCTGCACTAACAAATTAGCAAGGACCATGTCTTCTAAATCACGTGCTTATGACCTATGCTGCCAACCAGTTATGACTGCCTAATTTTTTACAGAAATTACGGAAATTGCGTTTTGGATAGGAAGACTGCATCGGTAATCCAACGCTACTCTGTTCGAGCAATTAGACTGCAGCTGGTAAGAATCCCCACCAGAGAGCTAAAAGTTTGCTTCTAAATTCTAATCTCTACTGCTTTAGAATTTTAAAAATCATGCATATCTCAAGGATGGAATCTTCCATATCACCAAGTGCATTCAATGTTTGCATCGGAGCTAGCAGGTTCATTTTCCCAAGACGGTGAAAGATGTCTGTTTTTTTTCTTATATTATATTCTTAATCTTATAAAAACACACAAACATACAAAATTTACAAGGTTCTCATCCTGTCTAGACAGTCTCTTCTCCCTAGAGCGTAGGGTTTTGAAACTTAAACTGAAAATACGCGTTTTATAAGGTAATACAATTGAAAATAAATTCAATGGAGGGGGAGGGTTTCCCTTTATTTTAATAATAATATAAGATCTGGCTCTTAGGGACGATATGGACGTTTTTAAGAGAAGTGTACGTATAAAAGTTGGAATAATTACACTTCGGACCCATAATTTCATTAAAATTCTGTTCTAGTTACTATAGTTTCAGGTCAAGGCATTTGACCTCAAAGATTTCAAAAAAATATATCACACGCCTGTTTAGTTTTTTAGATAGAAAAATCAAATTATTCCATAAATTGGCTAGCTTACTCTTAATTTTCCCCCAATTTTAGCCTCATTGTTGTCACAAAATGGTGACATTAATTTTATTAGCCCTAAAGTGACCACCCTCCCTCTCTCATATGCGTAGAAATTAGAGTTTGCTTATAAAGCTAATCGAGAACCAAAACTGTTACATTTTTTAAATCTTAAAACTAAATTATGCTGCAATTAAAACCACGGGACCAAAAGAGAATTTGGGTAAACCTATGGATAGAAAAGGGAAGTTTGCCAAAAATATAATGTATATAGTTGCCTATACAACTAGGGAAATAAAGCTCTTTACCTCGGAATAGAAGATTAGGAGCTTGGAATCATGTGGAAAGCATTAAATGCAAGAGGGTGGGAATCGGTCTTAGGGTTCTACAAACTTTATAATTTTAAGGGGATTGATTCAGAAACCTCGTGCTCCTTTAGTGCGATATTGATAGTGATTGTATACAGGTGCGCTGCATACATGTGAGCCATTTGCAAGCTGACACAATACATGGAATATGATTACTATAGCAAGCTACTCTAAGTCATTAGAAGCTAACTTGTAGTATTATGTCCCTTAATTTAATATTAATCCTTTGAAGTGACTTTCTTCTTTTTTATTTATGCTTAGACCTCAGTGTCATATCAGATCTCATTAGCTGGTTGACATTAATTTCTTGCTTGCGCTTTTTTTTTCTTAAATTAAATACATCAGTATATGTAATTTTTAATTAACAGCATTTCAAATTGATATATACGATGTGTAAGATTCATTGAAAGAACTGAATAAGGATTAGTCTCTTCTTCTTCACATACATTAACTACATGGATATATAATTGACATAATTATGAGTTCTCAAAATTGTATGAACAATAGAAAATATGGGTTATGCCTTACTTGTGAGGTTGACGGTGCTACTTGATAAGCAGCCACGTACACAGTCAAAGTTTTGAAGTGGGATTCTTTCAAACAAGGATGAAGATAGATGCACCTTGAATATTTTATATATTGATGAGTGTAATTTGGGGCGTCGACTTGAGTTTTTGTTGTAATTTTTGTCTATGTCAAAATAATATATTATAGATAATTCATCTGTGAAAGTAAGTTATCCGTATTCCATTCGCATGTTTAACAAATTTTTATCATGTCATAATTATATCTCTCAGTAAAGTTGGTCCTTGAGTTCTTGTTGAACTAACATGTTATCACTCCCTTTCATAACCATTAATGTGTTTCAAGTTGAGTTGTATTTTTAGGTTTATTTTATTTTATTATATTTCAACAAGTTCCTTTGTCCTTATTTATTTATAGATGACAATATGCTTTTTCGCTAATGGCTAAAACATTAAAAGAATCACAAAAATGGTAGTTATTAAGGTAGTTGACTTTGATGAAACTACTCCGGCAAATAATATATAAGGGCTGAGGCGGAGGTTCAAATTTGTAACTAAAATGACTTCTGGGATTTATTATTTCTTGTTGAAAAGTCCATTATGACTGCGACGCAAATTAAATAATTCTATTGGCACGGATGACTTAAGCTCTTTCCTTTTGTGTATAATCTGGTTGTTATGGAAAAAAAAATCCTAGATTGCAAGGCCCTAACAACCTGTGAAAAGCAAGACAGTCTTTGAGTGAAGTCTTACTTCACTTTAAAAAAGAGTTTCTAATAGTGATATGTTTGATTATTTGTTTTCTGGGGACTCGTATATATTTAGTTATTATTCAGTGTGTTATAGCTTATGATAATACCTTAACTTATCCATTTTATGAACTAAAACACGAAGGCATACGCCAAAAACACAGGCGTTCAAAAGGACCATCCGATGCAAAAATTGACAGAATGATTGTGTTTTGCTTGAAGGTGGGGACTGGCAATTGAGATCACCGTCATATGGGGATATCATGCATGGTTTTTTATATGGATGAAATAGTTAAATTAAACATGGTTTATGCATTTCTCTTCTGTTCTGTATTATCCCAAAACGTGCTCGCAAGGAAGATCTAGTGTTCTTGCTAGCGTGAAGGGGTTGAACATGGTTTTATCTCGGTATTTGCTCAGAAATTTGTTTACCTATACCAGAAGCGGTGACCGTTGATAATCACATGACGAGAGAGAAAATGATGAGGGAGACATGTATATTTATATAAATATGGATCAATTTATGTTCCCATGTGAATATTTCGCCAACAAACATTCAAGTCGGTCGAACCCACCTTCCTCGGCCCTGGTTAGGGTTCCGCCTCGTTCCACACCTTGCAGTAAATTTCCTGCTAAACCCCCAACCCTACTTAACCTCATCTAGAAATCGTTGCTCTTACTCGGTTTTTGATCTTTTAGCGTGATCATTTTGATAATTTCTTCTACTCATCATCACTGGACTTTGTCACTTAGAGGGGGAGAGAGAGAGAGAGGAACGTGGAAAGAAACTGCAACTGCATGAATCGCCAACCACCACGCGCCTAGGCGGTGGTCAACCCTCATGTCTGATTCTCCAAACCTTCACCGCTAGTGTACCGACAAAATGACCCAATTGGCCCTTGACGGCAAGAATATCTCTTAGGCCTTATCAGGCTAAAAATGTCAAATTATGTGTGGAAGTGTTTAATTAATATTTTTTCCTAGTACTAGAGTCTATGACTTCCACTTTCCCCCTCCATATACAATTCCGCCGGTTCCCACTGCCAATAGTGTTGGATTTATATTTGTTTGTATGGGCTTTATTGGAATTTCATTTTATTTCTATTTGGATCCATTCTCCACTGGTTTTGCACCACGTCTTATAAATATAGCATTCCAAGCATAGTCCTCCCAACTGCACTTGCCTGGTTAATTTTCATAAACTCGTATTCTCTCCTCCATCTACCTCCTGCATCAAAAAAGAATTACTCCTCCTCTCCTCCTTGTTCTCAATCCGGAAATGGGAGGAAATTCCCCTTGTGCCTCCTGTAAGTTGCTGAGACGCCGATGTGCCAAAGAGTGCATATTTGCCCCTTACTTCCCTCCCGGTGACCCTCACAAGTTTGCCATTGTTCACAAGGTCTTTGGTGCTAGCAACGTCAGTAAGATGCTGCAGGTATTCACTCTCTCTCTCTCTCTCTATATATATATGTATTCATCTGGGTGTATACCGAGCCTCAAATTCACGAGTCATGACCATCCCGTTATAGAAAGAATTATATTCTTGATCAACGGCTTTCGCTCTATATCTATGCATATTCCCGCAACTTCTTTAATCATTGTGATCATTTTTTGAATTTTACAGTGTGTTTGCTCCTCTTGTTTTGTGGGCTCATTGGTTGACTTTTAAGCCAATAAAACCAGAATTGCTTGGGTATTCTAACTTTTATTTTAAAGTTGAAAACTTGTGAAATCCCAAGTTTTTATACTCCAAAAATAAAAATAAAAACCGAAAAGCACCAAGATTTTATGACTTCTATGCTCAGGTATGAAGAGCTGAGAAATTCTGTCTTTTGACTTTTTTCAGCCTTTGGGCTTGCAACCCTTACACACAATCTTAAGAAGGGGAACTAGTTGCAGAATGTGTAACAAGCAAGATATAGGTTTGTGTGCGCGCGTAGCTTATGGTCGATTGTTTTGCAGGAGCTTCCGGTTCACCAGAGAGGAGACGCGGTAAGCAGTCTGGTTTATGAGGCGAACGCGAGGATGAGAGACCCGGTTTACGGATGCGTGGGGGCGATTTCGTATCTGCAGAACCAAGTTTCCCAGCTAGAAATGCAGCTGGCAGTGGCCCAGGCGGAGATCCTTTGCATCCAGATGCAGCAAGAGCCTCATGGCTTGCCCAATCAGTAGGGGTAGAGGCAGTAGTAGATCATGACCAGAAGTCCCTCCTTTTCTCCGGCGACAACCTTCAGCAATACCTGAACTTCGCATCCTCTAGCAATGTAAATGTAATCCAGGACCCTCTCAAGAGAGTCTCTCTTGGACATGACTTGACTTGCCTTATTAATCTAAGTAATGAGTTTCCCTCTATTTCTTGCCTTTTTCCTTTCTTTTTTTTGTTGTCAAGACATTTTCTGCTATTTGGTCTCTGCGTGTGCGGGGGTGTAGGTGTGTGTGTGTGAGAGAGAGAATTCTGGTGGTCAACCCTAGCATGTGAGGTGGAGTACGATTTAAGCAGTGCACATCGCTTGTTCTTCTTAATTTAGGTGTATGGAGGTCTCTGTTTCTCTCTCCGCTCTGGAGAATCATTAATTGAATCACTTAATCATCAAGATTACCTAATTAACCTAGATGATTTATGGCGATTGAGCCATGAAGTATACATACGGAAAAAGACGGGGCATTCTTCACGCGCTTGGAGCAAAGTATTCGGGGTAAAAATGAAAAAGATTGTGACAATATGAGAGAAAAATACAGTTAAAATGCACGTAAAGTTTCTTGCTAATAGACTTTTTTATATATGCTATCTGGAAACTATCTTAAATGTATTACTTTTTCTTATAAGTATTATTTTAAAATTATCTTAAAAGTAGTGCTTTCACTTTTTACGTAGAAATAAGTGTAAGAGATGAATTTTATACATTTATAGAGGTGTGGCGGACATCTATTTGTGAGAGGTAATGTGAGGTACAGCGCTTAAGAAGAACGTCAAATATTTTCCTCAATGATTTTTTCATTTTACAAATGCTCATTTTTCTAAATATTGAAAAATTATGAGAGCATAAGATGAACTCGGTCAGATTAGTTGATATTCCAGCGATAAAGGTCCTATACAGGGGCAAAAAAGAACTTTTGTTGTAAAGAAGGGAAATATTATGTAATATCAAAGGAAATTATGCACAATTCCCAAAGATTTTAATTTTTGATCAATCACATCCTTGAGCTAAACATTGAGAATTTTATTGATAAAGCAGCGAAATGGAAGTACAAAACTCGGAGCCTTTTCTCTTATCTTCTCTTAAGCCTTGCAGGCTCACCATTGGTTCGCAATTTTTGAATTGATTCGTTTTAAATTTGTCTCTGCACTTAAATATTTTAAATTTTATTCAAATTAAAGTCACATTTATATTATGTTAACTTATTATAATTTATACTGTCACACATACCCTCGACTCTTGCCAGGGAAAGACGGGAGGCAGAAAACTAAGAAATATAAAATTTTACCCAAAAAAAATAAAATAATGAAATTCAGAGTTTCCATAAGTCCAATATACTAAAACAATCCGAACAGAGCTTCCAGAAAGAACAAAACCAACCGTCACCATCAGGCCACCACCACAACGTGAGGAAACTACCAGACCCACCGTTGGTGCACGAAAGGGTCCACTACTGCCGCTTAGTTTCTCAGAGCAAAACATTTGCATCCACCGCAGAGGGTTTGGTTGGGATGGTAGATGACCAAATAACAAGGTAATGGTTTGAAATCCACTTTACTCTACATCGTTGTTGCAGGTTATATTTTCACCTCTCATAACTAGGTGACGTCTTTTGAAATTGTAATACTTTGTAGTAAATAAAAAAATATCTGTGCCCAAAAAAGGGAGCGAAATTAAACCCCCCCCCCCAAAAAAAAAATAAAATATATTATATATACATATATATATGCACCCAAAAAATGAGGAAAGGAAAGTCCGCCTAACAAAGGAAAGTAGAAGATACGATACCAACAGTCCCATCAAAATCAAGATTTCGGATGTCCTCCTTTGGGACCATTTATCCCCACTCCTCTAGTCAAATTTGGAGGCTTTGATTCTTCTCCCGACACGTTGGTGTGATCCTCTGGGTTTTCAGTCTTCACTTATTTGCCATAGCACTCAATAATCTTTTCTCAGTTCTTTCTTTTTTACTTATCGTTTATGTTTATCACAGAAATTTAAATTTATAATAAGTTTTAAAAAATATAAATAAGTGGCTGAATCTCCTAATTATCACTTAGTAGAATCATAATCATCTTGCTAAAAACTCAAATATATATAAAAACAAATGAGTGTGTGTGTGTGTCTCTCTCTATATGTATGGCCCCAACACGACATCAAACGTTAAATGCGTCTGTTATGAATCAGTTATCTACAAGGCTACAAGATTATTTTTAGGTTTGCAGCTCATTGTTTGTTTTATTTTATTCTATTTTCGCTTCTTTTTGGTCTCTACGAGCCGTTTAAGCTGGGTTAAAAACAGAAGGGGCTGCTGATCTTGGGGCATACAAGATAACCCAATAATTCAAATTGGTCAGCCAATTGTTTGGGAACATCCCTCCAGCCTTCAATTTGGATTAAGTACCTTCTAAATATATGTTTACCATCTAATTACCATCTAGAAAAGGGAGAGGCATCTGAGATGGGACGGCCTCTAATTCTCTTATTCTTACAAATATTTTTATCTGTTTTATAATTTAAAACTAATTTTATTTATAATATTATAATTATCTATTCTCAAAAGTAT